ACTGAAAAGCAGATATTTGCCAAAGTTTGGCAGTGATAAAGAACTCTCTCCAAGTAGCAGATTGAATGCAGATGGGCCAAACGAACTTGAAAGATCAGGTAGTAAGCAGTGGCTTGATAGTAATGGTAATGTAAAAAATCACTGAAAATAGAATAACACTAATAAAGATATACAGTTGGTGACTAATAGCAACTCTTATAAATTCTTTGCAGGATCAGAAGATCATTCTATTTCACCTCAGCAGAAATGAGCTGTGGGATTTGTCTGCTACTGAACCTTAGGGATTTTTGAGCTAAAGCTGTTCCAAGTTGTCTGAGTGTTCACTCTCCACTTTAGCCTTGGTTCAATCCAAACTTGTTCAGATATGAAGAAGTTATCCAAGTTTAATGAGAGCTTTTGGCTCCCATATGAACAACAGTTCACTTAAGACATTGCTCAGTGTTTCTTTTCATGCTTGGATTTTTCAGACATTTGTTGTTTCTTCATAAATGTATGCCATTGTGCTCTTTTATCCTTTGCAGGCATGTGGAACAGATTGACATTGAAGTCTTTGAGCATACATTTACAATGGATAAAGTATTTCAAGCAGTGTTCTGCTTACTTCTGCAATCAACCGTGCAATGTTTGTAGCAAGCTTCTTTACTGCTAGATGTATGTTGGACCATTATCTCTACTGCTGAACTGTAATTTATTAAGTATTTATTTGAACGCTTGCAGCCTGGTTTAGATTTATCCTCTTTACCTCTATTTATGTTTGTGTATGTGTCGGCAAGCGTGCATCCTTGTTTAGATTCCAACACATGCTGGTCTTTATTTTCTTCCAGTCACCTGTCTTCTAGCAGTCTTGAATGTACTACAACTCTTGGCCTTCGATTGATGTGCTTGATCATAGGTCCACTTTTATATGTCTTTGATGGTCTAGACGGCCTGTTATATCCAACTCATGCAGGTTTTTACAAGGTGTTCCTGTTGGACCTATCAGTGATCAGTTTGGAGGGTTGGTTATTACTTTATCTATTTGAAGGTATGCAGTTGCTTTGTGGCAGAGAGCTAGTGCTATAAAATTTATATTTTTCTTAAATTCCTCTCGTGTCTATTTGTCATATAAGGTGACTGCTGAGTTTAGGTTTGGTTCTATCTTTTACTTTGTATTTTTTTTTTCTTTTTTTTTTCTTTTTTCTCTGATTTCAAGGAAAGTTATTTTCCAAAGCTACTTTAAGGTCCTGTGTAACCAGACTTGGCGAGGATGAACAGCGTCTATTTTTGAGCCCCATAGTAAAGATCGGTTGATCACTTTAAAAAATTATTTCATGGTTTTTTCCAAGGTAATCTTTCATGACACTGTTGGCTGAGCCCTTTGTGTGGTAGTAATTGTTAAGTTAGATTTGCTTGCATTTGTACCCTAGATATTAATACTCTGGCTGTGATGTTTCCTTCGGGGTTTAGCTTTTAGTTCTTCAATGAACTTTTGTTGGCTCAACTAATTGGTAGATAGTTTGATGTTCTGTTCTGATTGTTGATTTCTAGTTGGACTGTAATGGCATTGCTGAAAACTTACCTCGTTTTTGTCTTCTATTTTCCCTTTTTTCCCATTTTTTCCTAGTCTTTTTTTCTTTTCCCCCTCCCCCTCTTTTTTTTTTTTTGCATTGTTTCTTTTCTAGGAGGCATGGATTTGGTGGTATAAGAGCACGGCTTTGGTATCAAACCTCTGGAAATGGTTGAGTTAGCATGCAGCACTATGTTACTTGGATTCATGTGTGTGTCGAATATCAATATGTATCTGACATGAATATGTTTGATTTTTTAAAGTCCTCTTGTGATATGTAGAATCTAGAGAGATCCATTTCATATATCCCATACCTAGGTTATTAGTGTGTTTGAAATATTTTTAGAGTCTGTTCACGTTTTTGGAGGGTCAATCCGTAGAAAATATCCGTACGTATTTGGGTATGTGAATGAGTCAGATACGGATAATGTGTCGGATACAGATATGTAGACAAGCAAACATCAAAAAATTAAAATGATGTTTGCCTTTAAGATATTTTTGGTGGAGTTCTCCCAACTTCAATCACAACCCTAATCCCCCAATCCTATAAGGATTGGATAATGAGCTGGCTACATCTGGATGCCAAGCTGTACTTCATAGTATATTGTCTTCTAATTTGCTTTATCAATTGATATTTTTCTTATTGCTTGTAGTTTGAATTTAATTAAGTTCCAATTCTTAGGAACGCTTATAGTATATAGAATAACTAACATCTGAACTTACGTACACCATAAATCAATGGCTAAAGGAAGTTTTATTTGAGTACAACAGAAGATTTAACTTTTTATTTGAAATATCGGGTATTTACCATTTAGTTGAGTTTCACATTTTAATTATTTTTTATACAAGTAGATGTTAAAAATATTGGTTATTAAACAAATTTAAAAATTTAATTGAATTGTAGTTGGATTAGTTCAGTCTGTTGCAATGTGTTAATATATAGGTCTGAGTGTGTTCAATCATATAATATTGTATAAAATATAATATACTATTGTTTGTGGAGAGATGTTATTTAATTATTATACAAAAAGTACTTAAAACTTAATGACATTCTAAGTTTACTCCCAAGAGTCATTATTTATATGAATTGTAAATATAAACCGGTCACTTTCTTATTCTTTCACTCTCAAATCTTTTAAATTATTCTCATCAAATCTTCTAAATTATTCTCATTTTCGTGTTTACCCATTGTAGATTTTGACATTCGTTATATATATTTTATTATTTCGACTTCATATATATATATCATTTTAAGAAAAAAAAATTAGAATTGATTGTATGACCTGTTTTTAAAATATAATATTTATTCAAAATTGATATATTTAAATTTTATTTTTAAATTATTAGTATATACTAATGATGTTTTATGTTATCAAAATCGTCAAAAAATATTAATTATCTTTAAAATTGGTTATTCTTCATTTTATATTATATTATTATATAATACATATTAGTTAATAATTTTTATAATAATTTTATTATCAAAAGAAACGATTAATGATATTTAAAATTATAAATATTAATTTAAAATAAGAATTATAATTTGAAGATAAAATTATAAAATTATAAAATAATTTAAAGTGAAGCTCGTAATCTAAAAACATACAATAGAATCAACTCTCACAAATTTATTAATCTTAGAAGAGGTCCACTTAGAACTATAAGCCGCCTATGATGATGCAGCTAACGTGGCATGTCGTGTGGATTTGGACATGCAAAAAGAATACGTAGCAAAAAGATAAGATCAAAATGAATGAAAATAAGAAAAATATTATAAGTAAACTTGTGAATATATTTAATTCTCTTATATTCTCTTAAATTACGAGTTTTAAATTCAGTATGCGTATTTCTTTTATTCTCTTAAAACTTTCTATTTTTTTCATTTTAAGTAGGATTAGAATTATATATATATATATATGAAATAAAATTGGATAAAATAATATTAAATTGTTGTGACCCTTTAATCCAAGAAATAAAATATAACTTCAAGCTGAATTAAAAAAAAATCAGAAAATAAAATTATTACATAATATTAAAATACAAACAATGATGTTAGATAAAATAAATTTAGTTGCGTGCATAGGATCCTCACAAACCCCGTCCACTAACATCCCTAAAGCATATGGTTGATCAAAATAAATGATATTTAAAGGTTAATTATTCAACCATCTTCATTTCCACATTCAATTCTCTTTTAAATTTTTTTTTTGAATAACAAATAGATAGTAAATTAATTTAAATACAGAAAATATAGTAAAATATAATAAATTGTACCAACACCATAATAATATTAGGCTTCAAACAAGAATAAATTATACGAATAGTCTCTTATTTTTTTTAATCCGTCCGATTTTAATCACCGATTTAAAAAAATAAGTTTAATCTTTTATGTTATGATCCTTTCATTTTTACCCCTTGATCGTTAACTGAAGAATGACTTGGCATTAAAAAAATATAAAACCTATCTGGTTACTAGCTTTAAAATACACGTGACCCTAACAACCATTAATTGTAAAAGAAGAAAAAACAAAAGAAGACTGGAACTCCGAAAATGGATCCCTGCCCTTTTGTAAGGATCCTGGTGGCGCTGAAATTTCCACCGACAACAAACACCTCCCCCTAAAGAATCAACCCTTTCTTCCATATATTTGCAAGATTAAACTCAACAACTTCCCTCACCAAGTGTCTATGATCCCTTTTATCGTATCACAACAAGACAGCAACTATTCTTCTTCTTCTTCTCAGATATCGTTGGACGTTTGTTTCAGGCTTGATATATCTTAGATCGATAGAATCGTGAGGGATTCGTCGTGCAAAATTTCTATGGATGTTTATTCTGGTCCTAATGGGAGCACTTAAGGATTAGCTCATAACGAGTTGTTGGGAAGGTCACGTTGCCATTGGATCTACGTGGAACTGAATCAAGACCGTGTGTGGTTCACAATGAATGGATTATCATAGGCCGAAATAGAAGCAGCAAGAATGGAGATCTCCGCATGAACAAAACAATATCGGTATTTAAAGAATTATTATTATTTTTTAAGATTTTAAATCTGAACACTATTTATGTTAAAAGGTGTAATATTCAATGTCATAGGATTGAGAGTTACCTATAAACAGATACTTCCTTATATTTTCTCCAAATTAATCATCTCACTTATTTTAAAGTAGGTGAACAACATAGACATTGTAGCATTGTTAGGCAGTAGAACCCAACTAAACTTTTGTTAAGATCAAAATTAAAATCGAATAAATTAATAACATAAAAAATTAAAATTAATTTTTTAAACAAATAAGCAAAATAGACTGATCGAAAATATAATAGATCCTGTGTATAGTTTACCCTTCAATCAAATACAGAAAGGACAGGTGTCCCAGACCCCTCCAAACAAATTCCCTCTCGTTTCCATCCCTCAACAAATATCACTTGAGCCTTTCTTCTCTCTCCACAGATTCAATTCCCCCCCCCCTCCTCCTCTTTTTCTTACTATTTTTGCCTCTTAATTTTCTCAATTTTTGCAAAAACTTCACCAGAAAACAAATGAGCAAGTTTCACTTATAATTAGCAAAGAAATCGTTTCCAACTTTTCCTAAGATGCGTTGCGGTTATGGATTGGCGGCGTTACCTGGTACCGACGCCCGTTTCTTTTCACCGGAAACTCCCTTCCTCCGATTACCCAGAACCGTCCACCCGACCCGGATAAAATTTGGGTCGTTCAAAATCAGAGCGAAGATCGACGAAGCGAGGAAGGAGGTGAGTTTTTATGAGTTGTTGGGGATATCGGAGACGGGTACTTTGCTGGAGATAAAGCTGGCGTATAAGCAACTGGCTAGGAAGTACCACCCGGACGTGTCACCGCTGGATCGAGTCGAGGAGAATACGGAGCGGTTTATTCGGGTCCAGGAAGCTTATGAGACCTTGTCGGATCCGAGGAGGAGAGCTTTGTATGATAAGGATTTGGCTTTAGGGCTTCACCTTGCTTTCTCTGCTAGACGACGTTATCAACATGATGAGGTATTTGATACTTCATGTTCCTAATTACGTATCAATATTAGCTTTGGGTTTTTGTTTTAGACTTTTTTTTTATTTGTGTTTTTGCCTTATTGGGAAGTGTTCCATATCTGGGTTTTATTTATTCGGTCTTTTGTGGGAACTTCCAACCCTTTATTTCTTCAAGATTTGACTTTCTTAACTTTTAAGTTGAAATTTCCAGAATTTTAATCATTTGCGTGTCTACTTGGGGGACTGAATTGATGCTTTGACGAAGTTCTCAAGTTATATTCCAGTTGAAATCTAGTTTATTTTGACTGTTGATGATGATGCCTGCTTAAGTCTGTGTAGTGGTTAGATTGTAAATACAAGGGTCTTCAAGGGCAATATTGGGTTAACATGTGAAGTTACTAGTATAGACGTAAAGCTTGGCTGTTATAGTATTCTGGTTAATATGAAACAGAAACTCTCTTTCCTGGAATACTGTTTCTGCTAAGCTTAAAGGATATGAATTTGTAGACTGAGCACTTCATCTTTTGACTTACTCTCTTTTTGTTTCTGAGGAAATTGATTTTTGAAAAACTGACTCTTTTTTCTTGTGGAATTTGATATTTTTTGTTGTTTGAATAATCTTGTGTGAAATAATTTTCGTTGTTTGTTTCTTTTTTTTCTTCTGAAGTTGCATTCTATGATTGATCCTACTCTTAAAGGTTGATCCTTTTTGCTTTGATTCTAGAAGAGATCGGTCCCTACATGTAGATGATCCTAGCTTTTTTGCTTTGCTTCAGCTTCGGGAAGATGTCTTATGGTTTTCAAAAGTGCAAAACATTCACACATTCACAAAAATAAGTGTTGATTTTTCGTTGGCCGAGTTATGTCTTGTGAAAGTATACAAGTAAATGATGAATAGCCTAGAAATCCTTTTACTGCAACACAGATGAACTTTTGTTGTCTTCTTTAATGTGTACATCGTATCTTTCGAGTCTAAGACTAGCATGAGTTTCTCAGCTGTCAGTTCGAGTTCTGTTTCCTTCTTGAATCCAAATTAATTAGTTCCTGTGTGGTTACTGGTACACGGAATAATAAGCAGTCAACTCTATCCACTGAACATCTTTTTATTGATAGGTGGGGACACTAGCTTTTGCCTGTTTTCTTTGCAAATGATTGAGATGGTTAATTAGTCATCGTTCTTCGCTTTGGTACTTTTCATTTGTTTCTTGATTTAACATGTTCAAACATTTCCTTTACTTTGATACGATCCCATACTCGTCGGATGAGATTGTTGCACTTGTATGCTTAAACTCTTCGGTTCAAACTTGGAAATCTGCCATATGCTCCCTCATGTTGACATGGTAATTAGGTAAACAAAAAAGACCTTGTTTGTTACTGTCCTTGCAAATAGGACTTGCATGTTGTTTTTTGTAATGCTAATAATGAAATCATTAGGTTCAGTCTCTTAATTCAGCTAATCTTTAGTTTTTAGTATGATCTTTATGAACCTTTTACTTTCGGATTGCTTCTTTCTTTTCAGATGAAAGTTGCTTTTCCTTCTTATTTAGAGCATGTAATAGTTTGTGCTGAGAAGATGCTTAATCTGTTAAGAGTCTTTAGAGTCTGTTCCTGCTTCCGGTCTTTTGGGAGACTCCGTTATGATTGCTTCAAATTCTTACATTCTCTTCAAACCAGGATCTAGAAGATCGAAACGAGTGGAGAAACCGATGGCAATCTCAGCTATCAGAGCTGAAGCGAAAAAGCATGAACAGGGATGCTGGAGGGAACATGTCATGGGGAGCTCGAATGCGCAGGCAAAGGGAAGAATTGTCTAAAGAACTATAAACAACACTTCCCTTTTATCCTCAAATGTATACAAAGATCTTTCTTTTGTGTGTGTGTGTGTGTGTATATCGCTCGGCTCTCTTTTATATATGGTGATTTGATCATCATTGTTCAAACATAGGACTTCCAATGCTAATCTTACTACTTGGCTTTCAATATTGTACATAAATCTTTTAAAGTTTGACATTTTAATTTTTTTCTTTGTTTATATATATATTCCGGCCTTAAGCTACTTTTTTTAAGTTTAATACACAAATTGCCCTTTGAATTTTGTAACTTTATTCAAATTGGTCCTTAACTTTTTGAGGGATCAACTTGATCCTTGAAAGTGACAGCTTTTGTTAATTTGGCTCCCGAACATGTTTTTGGGTCAAATTTACTCCTATGCTGGTACATTCTGTCAAAGTAGCTCTTCAAACGTTTGATTAATCAAATTATTTGTTTAATACATTTTATTGAATATTTTTAATGAAAAATATAAATTATTTTAAAATAAGTTACTTTTTAAGTTAGTTATTGGTCCATGTCAACAAGCAATTCAAAAGTTAATAATTTCAGTTGTAGAGGCTAACTATTGCCACAAGGACTACTAAGATGTTAACATGTTAGCGTTTATTAAATGAATAAACTAATTATAATTAAAAAATTCAAAGAAGTGGACAATAATGAAGAAACATCAAAGATGATTGAAACCCTGAAGGTTAAAAATTGGTTATTTTTCATTTTAAGTTGAGCTTATAATAAAATTGTTTTACAAAAAGGGTTGCTTTCTTTTAAACATCAAAGTTGAACCACTTGACATAGAGGTTCACTGTTGAATCAACCGATGCCGATAATATACTTGCGTGCTGTTGCTTAAACCAATGCTTACGTGCTGTTCCTTAAACCGATGCCGGTAATATAATTATGTGCTGTTCCTTAAACCGATGCCGGTAATATTATTATGTGCTGTTCCTTAAACTGCGGGTATTTGACCCTGATTATATACACGGGGAATAAAGTCATATCCTCGAAACCATGCTTGAAGAGGCGAAGCAACATAACTTAGAAGCGTATAGCATACATACACAAGCGTCAACCAATAACCATATGCGTAAAGCAAAACGGTGGTAATATAAACAACACAAACAGGAGAGGTGAATGAATGAATGCCACTACTTACTTTTCCCCCTATCTTACATTTTATTGTAAATATAAGAGAGTTCTATGTTACAAATCAAAATTGCAGTGGAATTGCAAATACCCCACAGCTAGTTTCTCTCATAATCTCAATTAGAAAGAGCATCTCAGCTTTAAGCAATTCAAATAAGAATGCAAAAGCTTATAAATTACCTTTTCCTAAGGCACCCTCATTCGGTTGTGCTTTCATCGCTTCGTGTGATTTGAATCAATTAGTAGTCTCGTGCCAGGATGCAAATAGGCAGCTTACACTTCCAGGCGGTGGAATTGCATGATAAGAGCCAAGTGATGGTTGCCGTGACAGATCAGTTTGGCAGCCAGTCGTTCAAAAGCATTCACTACAACACTGGAGATCGACAACAAAAGAATCCTGAATAGACAAAACAAAGAATCCACCCCCAAAGGGCAAAACCCAGCTGCAGTGTAGGAAGGTTAACCATGTGCCCACTAATAAAAATAATCAATATGGAATAACGTATGGAAGAGCATAAACATCAACCGAATCTATCTGCAGAGCCTCTGCCCATACTTGTGGTGGCTCGTCAATCTCCGAAAATCCCACCTTGGGTTTCTTTGATTGAGATTCAGTACTCTGAAATAACCACGATTGCTCATCAAAATCAGACCATTCTTCCATTTTGGGCACAGTTAGTACATGGCTCAAATACTTCAAATCTGGATGGGGTGGTTTGGTAGAAACATCATCGATTTGACAAGCTTCTGCACTTGATGATAAATGCTTTGCTGGGGAGACGGATAACAACTGAGCTTCAACAATACCATTCGCCTTGCGTTCTTTATTCTCGACTTTAAGACTCGTTGCTGGTCCCTTGCTATCTAAAGTAAGTGGAATGGGAGCTTGGCAAGACTCCAATGTCGTTCCATTGCCCATCAACAGTTGAGAGGAAGCAATTTTGGGCAACTTATTGGGTCTAACATCATCAACTGCAAAAAAGAAGGAAAAAAAAGAAAATAGAAAGCAGTACTTGTCACCATGATGGTTATAGATATTCAGAACTGTCCCCTTCTAAGAAAAAATTGATAAATTATAGCCATGAATGCAACCGCATGATTTTGTTCACAGGTTTTCTAACAGATAAAAGGCACCAAAGTTTCAAGTGATCACCTACCAAAACTCACACCAAAAATGTTTTCAAGTGATCAGCAGAATTGTATATACAATCATGATATATAACTCACCATGAAAAAATCCGTTTTTCTCCAAGTCCTTCCGCTTGTGAAGATTTTCCTCAGCAACGGCATCCTTGTTTCCCTCCTTAGAAGGATGCGACGTTTTCAGACTGATGGTATTCAGAGGGTCATCTCTGTTGCTTCCTTTTAAGTTGTCCAACTCCAAATTCCTATGCTCACCTTTTGCCTTCTCCTCCTTTGCTTTGTCCCTATCCTTATCTTTCCTGTGACTTTTCTTCTCTTTGTGTTTATCCTTACGCTTATCCCTGATTTTATCATCTCTTTTTTCTTTGGTTTTTTCTTTCCCTTCCCCACACCTCTCGGCAATATTCTCCGCTTGTTTGGTGATCCCTTCAATTCTAGCTTTAGCTGCTGCAACAACGTTTGAAACCATAGCATTTCCACTAGCTTTCGTATCGTCCCTGATTCCTTGCACATTGAACTTCCTATCATCACTTTTCTTGGTCTTTTCCTTCTCTTCAACCAATTTATTAGCAGTCTTAGCCACAAAACTGACCATTCCCTCATCTTTTTTCCGGTCACTACCAGTAAACTTATCCACCAATTCGCTTCTAGCTCCTGCACCTTCATCTCTGACCCTCCCCACCAACTCTTGCACAAATTTAGAATCCCTGAAATCTTCAGCCAGATGACTATTCTGGCCAATCTTCTCTCCATTATAACCTGAAATGTGCCCAGCAAGTTTCTTCTCACCTGACAAACTGCTTCGATCTTTATCCCTACCCTTCTCTTTCTGGGTAAACTTCTCCCCACTGTGACCTTCAGATTTTCCTGGAAGTTTCTTCTCATCTGAGATTTTCTCCCCATTCTGACCATCGGGATAACCAGTAAAGTTCTTTTCCTCGGAGTTATTACTTCTATCCTTTTCTTTTTCTTTATCTCGGCCCTTTTCCTTCTTTTTGTTTTTGTCTTTTTCCTTCTTGTCTTTCTTATCCTTATCCTTGTGCTTTCCATCGCTTCTATCTTTCGCCTTCTTTTCTTTCTTTTCTCTCTTCTTCTCCTCCTTGTCCTTGTCCCCCTTCTCCTTCTTATGACTCTTCTCTTTTTGTTTCTCCTGAAAATCGAGAATGTAGTTTTTCAAAACATAGATTCACAAATAAAATGCAAAAGAAAATATTAACATAAATCGGAAACTACCAGACAGATATTCAGTAAACCCCAAAAGTTATAAAGTAAATTACTAAAACATCCATTCTGCAACAAGTTAATATCAGTGCAGATATAAAGATACCTACGAAAATACCTAGGTCAACATATTACACACCAATCATATATCAAGAAATTGTCAACAGGATTAAATACAGGCCATATTAGAAGATAATTATCTCAAAAACCCCTTTGCATTCTGTCTTGAAAGGTTATGACAGTGGGAATTAAAGGTATATGATAAAACATTAACAGCCATCTTAAGAAGGCCAAACACTAGTGCATATGGATTCAACTACTCTACAGATATTAAGAATGTCAAAACTTGGGAAGAACCGGTTCTTCCAGATATAGTAAAAAACAGACACCAAGTAAATGCATGTGTTCTTAATTAATTAATAACTTTATACTTGAACCAATAGGAGAAGTGATTGATATCCTATCCAATATTTTTTCATCCATTACTTTTCAATACATTAATCATAATCAGTCAAATGTGTCGGACTGGGACACCATTCAAGATTTGTGAAAATCATGCTTGCAAATGGTGAAGTAACTAGCATTGAATAGTAAGAACACAAAAGTAGTGGAGGGAAGCTAAACCCTAGGACAAGCTTGATTACACACGGAGGTCGTCACTTATCAAAGGTTGTAAACAGGAACATTATCCTCAGTAAGAACATAAGTAAAAGTAACACATTAAGAAGGATGATTGAAAAATCCGCTAAATCCTGAAGAAAAAAGATTAAAGTTCTTTACTTTGTTATCCATAGAGCGAGTCCAACATTAGTTAGTAGAAGCTTATCTCTAGTGAGGGGAAAGAAAAGGTGAGATATATTAACATGACTTAATCTTTCATTCAACAGGGTATTGGCAAAATTTTGTTCTATGTATTAAATGTATCATCAGAAAAATAGTATAATAAAAAAGCATGTCATAGATTCATAGAGACTATATATGATTGAAAGAACAATTAAGATGTTCATTCAGTCATAAATATAACTAGTGCCTAATGGTGAGTATATAAATTAGCACCAGCAGGGTCAGTCTAACATTTCAAATAAGCTCCATTTCAACTTCATATTTTTTTTTTTTGGGGGAGGGGGGGTCATTCCTATATATGATGTGTTCATGTTATACTACAGCGTATCAACCTAATCCTTGAAATTATATACATGCTTCATTCAGCAAGGCATGTCATTACTGAATTGTCAGTAAAAGTAGTCACAGAAGATTATGCATACATAAAATACATCTTCAGAGAAGACAAACTTTATAAAGCATTTAACATTGCATGGAAATACAAACATAACAGCACAAGCTCAAATCCAATTCAGATATCAAGGAGTTTGTTCTCGTCATGATACTGATGTGTGCTGATTCTACCATAATAATGGTACAGAATACAAGTACATGATGTTAACCTTATTTAGCAAGTCCACACCATCGGTCCTAGCCTTCTTTTCATATCCTGGTGGTGGGAAAGGAAAGCAACGCGACATTTCAGAGAAGTTTAGAACACGAAACGATAATGCCTTCCAAACGCAAAAACACTTGGATTATCTTCCAGTAGCAATGTTCTGGAATGGGAACAACAAGTTACTATGCTCCTATCCATGCACCATATCCCTGCATACATTTCCAGCTTCAATGTTCCCCCATGAACCACTCTTGATAGTTCAAAAGAGTTCCTAAACCCACCAAGCTCTTTAATCTCTCTAACCTCAAATGTAACCCCAATTCAACTATCAAACACTAAACAAATCACTTTGAATGACAAAATCACCACAGCAAAGTCTCTAATCACTGCTAAACCTACTCTTATCTTACCCTAAGCTACTTCAACAATGCCCCAAAATAGAAATACAACTTAAAGAAATGCTCTTCTGATCAAGAATTCTAGCTCAAAAACTATGATAAACCAAATGCGACTGTCAGAAACAAAAATAGTCCAGTAAAATCTGACTCTCTCTGTTGTTTGCAGCACAATAAAAAATCACCACCTTCTTCTCGCAATAACAACCCAATGCCAAAATCATCCACCAACTGAGATCAACCACATAAAAAAATCACTAAAAAGCCAAACACACTTTTGTCTAAAACAACTAAATCCTCAAGCTTTTGAATCACTGTCTACGCAATTAATCACGAAAGCAGTCTTGTTCCACGTCCAAAAGCTTTCCAATCACCATTTCCCTTAAGCAATCTGTTTAAAAACCAAAGCTCGACAGAAAAAGCTCCTCAATCCGATACTGCAAAAACGAGAGGTTGAGCTCATTCATACTCTGATCAGAACCCTAATCAGTTCCCAATTCGGGAAATTCCCCCAATCCGTTGATCCGGATGAAAACCCTAGAAAAAAAATATACAATCAAACAAAAACTCCAACTGAGCAAACACCAAGTACCCATTATATAAAAATAGAAAACTTTAAGAAAACCCCAATTTTATCCAACGATTAAATAAAAGAAAAAAACCCTAAAAAGGTTTTTTAAAATAGTGACTTTAATTTTCTGAGTACCATAAGAGTAAATGGGTATCGATCAAAAGCCAAAAAGAAAGCTTTGATTCAAAGCGTGAATGTTAAACAAAAGAACCCTAAATCAGTTTTCGAAATAAAACAAAATTTGTTGGTAATTGGGAGGATTAGATTATTACCTAGCCCTCAACAAATTGGGCATTATAGGAAGGAACAATATCGTTTCTTTTTTCTCTCAAATAAATAAAAAATTAGATTATAAAATCACAGATTAAAGAGAAAAGAAGCGAAGTAAGCAAAGGCTTAATCCCAGTTTTTTCTACCTGTTTTATTATTATTATTTCTTGTTTTATTTGGTTTTTTTTTTTTTTTTTGGGTATTGAAGTGTTGGGTATTTTGAGAGAAATGGAGGAAATAAAGAGCTCTTCTTTGTTAGAAGAAGCCTAATTGGTTTTTGTTGTGGAAGATGCACGCGAGAGAGAAGAAAATCAAATCCAAACAAAAATAAAATAATTAATAAATAAAAAGTGGTCCAAGAAAAAAAAGCCCAAAAGGCCTAAATAAATTGCAAAACTCGTATCATAAACTTTTTTTTAATCTGTATTAATCGTTGATGTGGACAAAATTGTTACAATAATATGGTAAAAATTGTTCACGTAGAGTGTAAACAAATTATTTTTTTTAATTTGAATGTTTGCTGCATTATTCGTTGGTAGTTACAAGAACTACATTCGACTTCTGAAAGATGTTTGGATCAATCAACAACTTTTAAAACGCAAAATGATATTTTCGTTATAAACTATCATATATGCATAAAGCTTAAAGAAAACGTCTGATATTATAAATAATTTCTAAAAATCATTGTATATTTTATGCGACTTCCAATCTCCATGTATTCTAAGCGATTTTTAAAAGTCGCCTTGCATTCTACAAGGCCAAAAAAATATTAACGTATTATTCAAAAAAAGATTCTCATTGATTTGATAATTCAATGATATTCATCGTATTAATCAATTAATTCATATCAAGTTTTATAGAGACCAACTTATTACAATGACAATTCTCATAATTTTTATTTATTTATTCACAACGTCAATATTTAAATTCTTAATTTTTACTTAAAAGATTTAGATATTCATCCTACTAAATCAATTAATAATTAATTTTATTTTAGTCATTTAATAAAATGGCGTCATATGCCATATTCTTATATATTACATCACCAAAATAATTAAAAAATGTGTTAGAAAATTTAATGGCTCGTCGCATTAAAATAACTAATTATCAGTAATGAATAGTAATATTTTAACTTGAAAAGAAAAATAAATCCGTAACTTGATATATTATCATTTGATACATAATAGATTTTTTAATTAAAAAATTCACTAAAACTAATTAAAATATTTATATGTTTATATCCCTACTTTAATTTTATTTGAACTTTATTTTTGAATATTAGGTATAAATTACCCCATCCCTGCATTAAACGTAAGGTGTTTATGTCACGAAATCATGTGGTAATAAGGATGGTATATAATTTGGGAGGTTGCCATTTTGTAAAGTAATGGAGGATCAGCACGTGGCAACACCCCAGCCTATCAGGTCATCCATATGTACGTAACATGTAATCCTATCATTCCCCCTTGGAAAAATAAATGAAGAATGAATGAATGAGAAAGGTTCGATGATTGAGTGTCAAGCCTCTTCGCCCACCACGTGAACGTGCTTTTTGCCATTTGCCCCCATAGAATCTGTATTCCAATGGCCAATGGCACATTAGCGAAATTTGGGCTTTATTATTTATTTAAGGGTAAATTATATGTTTAGTACTTAAGTTATTAATTTTGTTTTGCTTTAGTACTTAAACTTTATTTTAAAATCATATCTAATGTTTACTTTTTGTTTTATTTTAGTAATATGTAGTTTAAAATTTAACGAATTGTTGCACGTAGCATTTTTTATGGGTAAATTACATCATTCGTCACTTTATTATTTCTCACTCCTATTTTCACTCCAATTTTGGTCATTGATATTTTTAAAAAAATATCTATGAAAAGACTTTGAAAATATGTTAAATAATGCGAAAAACCATAAAACAAACTCATTTTATTAAAATTAAATCCAAATTTTTAAAATTAATATGAAAAACGTTAATCAAACTAACCTAATGGGCCTCACTCCTAATATTATGAAATTTGTATAATTTATATATTATTTTTTTATATAACTATTATATTTGATTTATTAATCGATTAATTATGATTTAAATATTATAAAAATCATTGATAAAAGGTTTCTTTCCATTTTATTTATTCTATTCTGTTAGACCGATTTGTGTTTCATTATTTATCATTTATAACTATATTGTATCTAACATCATTAGAGGTGCCAATGGGAAAAGGGTCATATGGGCCCAATATGGGGGCTTCACTTAGGCCTTTTCCCCCGCCTAGTTTACTAGTGTGTTGCCTGAGAACAAAACCCAAAATATTTATATTTTGGAACTTGATGTATCGTCTCGTCTTATATCGGGTTTTATATAACTCAACTTTTATTTTTAATAACTTGTTCACGAATTTTTTAATTAAGTAAAGAGATATTACATTATAAAATAAGTTTTAAATTTTAAATCTATATAAAATAATTTAATATAAAAATCTTTGACCATTGATCAATTGACGAATCGTAAATCACCCATGAATTTCAAAAATACATAAAAATATATATTTATTAATTACATAAATAAAAGTTTAAATTTATATTATTTATGTATATAAATTTTCTAAGTGATTTGAGATATATATGTTATGTTAATTCATAACTTGTTTTAGTAAAATAAAATAAATATAAATTATAAAAAAATGAAGATAAGAGTTCAAATTGAACAAACAACAAAGAATGCTAAATGAAATGTCTAACATATTTTTTTTATTATCAATAATAAATTGATTTAACATGTTAAATATTTTAAATAAGGTTATGAATTTAAAATTTTGATTTAACAAGAAAATATATTAAATATCTTAAATAATGTTATAAATTTAAGTTGATATCATTTTTAAATAAAAAGTATTTATTAATTTTGTAAATTAAGATAAATTTGAAGTAAAACGTAATTATATATGATCAAAATAAAAAGAAAATAAAATATTATGTATGATTTTAAAGAGAAGAAATTGTTAAGTGACCATAACATAAACACCGGATTAGGTGAGTGTAGTTTACCCAAATATTTAATAAGTGTATGACTCTTAAACCCTAGCTGCTTGCTCTCCTCGTTTGTTCCAAAACCCCTAAAGCCCCGCTCTCTCTCTCTCTCTCTCATAATTATTCCCTCTATTTTTCCTTCTTAAAGGTAAAGATCATTGCTTTTGATAATGCAATCTATTTTATACTTACCCATCTTCCTAATTTTTGTGTTATTTGGGTTTGTGGTTCTCATTTGTTATGGTATTTTAGCCCTTTGAGTTCGTTTATCTTGTTTTGCTGATTCTCTTCATGGATTTTGTTTATATTTTCATATTTCCTCTGCTTTTATGTTTGTTGCATGGAAAAATTATTGTGTAAATAGTTTGAATCAAGTCACAGAACGACATGAAATTGCATATATGTAGTGAGGTTAATTGTTATGAACGACCTTTACCCTTGATTTATAATATTTTTCTTGTTCATTTGATATGTGAAGGATTTAGTTTCTGGGATTTGTAAAGCTTCATGATTTTCATTGTTTCTTTTCTTTGTGGTATGTTTTGTTAATATTTAGTTAAACTATTAGGCTTTGATCCAACTTGCCATTCTGTTTTTGTTCCAATTGCTTGATGTTGTTGCTGCAAATGAATCATGCAGTCTAGCGTTACAATGGCGTTTTCTAGCAAATTCGGAAGCCTTATGTGGCAAAACGGGCAAACACCGATGATATCATCAATGCTCAACTCTCTTCGTTGCATGTCAACTTCAGGCAAAAGGCTCTTCATTGGAGGTATTTATGAATGTTTGATTTTTTGGTCGGTAGTTAGATGCTGGCATCGTTTATTTCGTATTTGACTCGACTTGAATGTTTGGTTCTTAGGTCTTCCATATGGAACTGATGACCAAACTCTCAAGGAAGCATTTTCCGGATTCGGTGATGTTACTGAAGGTGAGCTGTATTGGTAATTCTAATGATCATTGTGAAGTTTTTCATATAGAAGGTTGCATTTAATTTGAAACAGATGAACATGGTTACATTGTATAATAGTTGTTGTTGATTGTTGCATGATATAGCTTCATCTTTCTCGAAATTTTCTTGTAAAAATTTGTATTTTAATAATTGGTACATTGCTTTCATGTGTAGGAAGAACTGTTACTTGCATAACGTTTAAAATTGACGATGATACTTTTTTTACAATATTGACTTTGTATGTATTCGTGTTCTCATTCTCTGATTTGTAATTGTCAGCTCGGGTTGTCATTGATAGAGAGAGCGGGAGGTCTAGGGGCTTTGGTTTTGTTAACTTTGCTAATGATGAAGCTGCCAACAATGCCTTGTCAGGCATGGATGGACAAGTGAGGAAAACAAAATTTACTGACATGGAAGTTGTAACATGTTTCCGATGAATCATGAATTAATTATTATGTACTGAAATTGCAGGAACTCCAAGGGAGAACTATTCGTGTAAGTTATGCTACTGAAAGACCTAGTGGCCCTCGTTCTTTTGGTGGCAACAGCGGTGGATTCCGTGGTGATAGAGGTGGATTTTGAGGGGAGTCGGGTTTCTAGGCTCTCGTATCAGAACCTGTCCAAGGACGTGCTTCTGCAGCTAGTAGTTGTTTAGATTAAAGGATGTGTTTATTTATTTTCAAGGATTGTTGAACTTATGTTATTACTTTATGCTACAAGGTCAAATTTTGTCCATTGTTCGTCATTACCTAATACAAAATCTATGTTGGCAAGGTGAGCTTTGCATTCTAGTTTTGATAATTGCTTGGCGTGATTCTAACATCCTGTTCGTTGCATGTGTGTTGACTTCCATTGCAGGGGAATTCTTGTCGTGTTCGAGGTAATATTAGATCTGAAATTGTCGAGTTTGAGTCAAATATTCATCCCTAAGTGCATCTTGTGCTCGCGTACGAAGATTAATAGCGGCATGTGTGAACTAATCCATGCTTGATTTCATTATAATCAAGTGAATCCCTGTATCCGTATTGGAGCACAACACCAATGCTATACTTTGTAACGTTAATGGAATATCATTTGGATTTATAATTATGATTTATTATGTTGGTGTCGATAGACGTTATTTGCGTTGGTAATTATACTGCTGTAATTATGAAGTCGTTTGCTTAAAATCCTCACCATACAAAAATTGCTCTTCAAATGCGTCCATTGCGTGTCTATCACACGTGCTAACACTAATACGAACTATCACACGTGCTAACACTAATACGAACTAGATTATGTGGGTAATAAGACATCTAGATTTTGTTTTTTTATCGTTTAATAAAAATAAGTTCGAAAGATTATATTGGAATATTTGAAGAGATTAATATTTAATTAATATGAGATTTGATTTCTTTGCGATGTTCACAATTAAAATATTAATTTTTGGATCGTGTGAGTATTCTACTGTTTTTTTTTTCTTTAATTACGTATTGAAGCATGAAACCAATTCTATAATTGTTAAGGTTAATGAACTCTGAATAAAGAGGGCACATTTCAACTTTACAACTAATTAGTTGGTTAACGGAATTAATTAAATAAACCTAATGTAAATTACAAGTCATCCTTAATTTGAGGTTTAATAACACAGATGACAGAACATGTTTTATTTTTAGGCTTCAGAACAACTCGTATTTGAGAGGTCCTCAAAGGTTGCTTCTACTTTAATTATTGTCCCTTAAAAGCAAATAAGAAAGTGGCATAATTTGGACCCTCAATTAACTTTTTTTCATTGTTTCTTTCTATTCTTAAATACACGAGATTCTCATGATTTGTGTCTTTAATATTTTATTAATCTTTTAGTTTCGCTCTTGAATTTTCTTTTAATAAATACATCCTTATTATTGTAAGCAAATTTAAAGAGATCCTTTATGATGATTTTTTTTTATTAATTTGGGATGAGTATTAAAATAATATATGTTCAAAGACGTTTAATCGTTTGACATTGAACGCTCATATCCTTGTGATACATGGTGCTCAAACTTTGATCTCAAAGAATAATAATAATTTCATAACAAATTGTTTATTTCGTATCTTTAAGATGACTACTTAATTGCGAAAGGGATGGTTTTGAAAACAGTGAAAGACTTTTAACAGAAGTAAATAACAAAATTGGCCACAGATAGTGCTGCATTTTAGGTCATTCGAAACAAATTAATACAAATCCATAAAGCAGTTCGAGTATTACTATTCTACCATCGTTCTACGTATGGTACCAACTTTAATAGTTTAATTGTATTCGTAGTAATTAATAGTTTTAAAATCATTGAAATTAAATATCGTACAATTTTATAATTTAAATTTTTTTAGGTCTTGTCGAATTTAAAATTAATAAAAATTAAATTTTAACTTTTAGTTTTTAATTTTTAATTTTTATTTTTCTGATTAATGATTTTTTTAGTTTTAAAATTAATAATATTAAATATTTTTATGACTTGTTCACTTTTAAAACTGCATTACTTTTAAAATTAAACAATTTTCACTTTTTATAATTCAATCTTTGAATTTGCTAAATGATCTTATGGTTGCCCGGATCTAATGTCGGTGGTGAGTGTCCAAAAACAGTGCAAAAATAAAATGAGAAAAATGACAAAACAGGAAGTAGTTTTCAAATATAATTAAAATAACCATGCTTAGATATTATCTCATTTAAATTAAAATAAATATGCTTAGATATTATCTCATTTAAATTAAAATAACTACATACATAATTATTTATGAGCAAATAAATTGAATAATCACTAAATTCAAAGGAGTTGAATGCAATAAACAAATTCACAAATCATCATTGTTGATAAATCACAATTCATTTTAATTTATTTTCATAAAATCAACGGTGTAGATCTGCCCATATCCAGCAGACCCCACCAAATTATTACAACTCATCTCCACAGATTTACACCTTTCTCTTCATTTCTTAATTTATCATTTCCTATATTTTTTTCATCAAATCTATAATAATCTGTAAATATTCTACATAATCAACAGCATTTGATCCCCCGTTTTTTACATCAATATCGCCACAATTATGAAAAAACAAAAATTCAATGAAGACGATGTGGGAAAATCAGAAAGAAAATGGCGGCCATGGAAATGAAAATACGAAGCTCTTAACTGGATCCATCTGCCCGTTGAGTTCCTTTGATCGATTTCGTTGGTTCCATCCCGAAGTAATTAACGTACCATTTCACGAATTTTCTCAACCCGGAAGCCAAATCGGTGGTGGGTTTGTACCCGAAATCCTTGTAAGCTAACGTGACGTTGGCGTGCGTGAAGGGCACATCGCCGTTTCTGGGCATCGTGATCACATGTTTCTTGGCTTTTGTGCCGAGTAATCCTTCCAAGATCGATACCAATCGGCCGACAGGGACTGGGGAGGTGTTTCCTAGATTGTAAACCCTTAATTGAGCAGGACCCTTCTTCTTTCCCCCGCTGCCGGTGCTCTTCTCCGCCGTATCTAACGCTCCCAAACACCCTTTCACGACGTCGTCGATGTAGGTGAAGTCACGCGCCACCTCTTTTTGGTCGGACGTTTTGTAGATGTCGATGGGTTTGCCTTGGAGAATATCTTTAGTGAAAAAGAAATACGCCATGTCGGGTCTTCCCCATGGACCGTAAACGGTGAAGAATCTCAGTCCGGTGAGAGAGAGTCCGTAGATGTGGTTATAAGTGTGAGCGATTTCCTCGCCGGCTTTCTTCGTGGCGGCGTAAAGACTAGCCGGTTGATCGGTACGGTCGCGTTCGGAAAATGGGTTTTCGGTGTTGAGTCCGTAAACCGAGCTCGACGAAGCCCAGACAATGGCGGGTTGTGGATTCGCCGCTTTGGCTACTTCGAGTAAATTAACGAACCCCGCAATGTTCGATCTCACGTATGACTGTGGGTTTTGCATGGCGTAACGAACGCCGGCCTGAGCCGCCAAGTGAAGAATATGAGTGAACGGAACGACGTCGAAGAGCTTCGTCAATAGCGCATCGTCGTTCAAATCGCCTTCGACGATAAAAATCTGGTGCTTGCTCAAAAGATTCTGCCTCGCTCGTTTCAAAGAAGGATCGTAATAGTCATTAAAGTTATCTAAGCCGAGAACCCCATCGCCGCGTTTCTTCAAAGCAAGGGAGCAGTGGGAACCGATGAACCCAACGGCGCCGGTGACTAAAACGGAGAACCCATTGAGTCTACGCGGCGTGGAAGAATGACGCACTTGTTTCTCCCACGAAGCTCCGCCGACGAGTGAACTCCCTGAGAAAAGGGAAGTGGAGAGGAAGCTGTGGTGTTGATGGCGGCGGTAAGGGTGGGAATTATCGGAAAGTGGAGGGTAAGTAATGGTGAAAAACAGGATCAAAACCAAAGCAATGAGAAGGGTTACTCGGAAGAGGAATTTAGATGAAGCATTCAACAGTTTTGTACTATGGAGTTTGCGGAGATAGCTGTTGTATCTCTCCAGTTTCATGGTTTTGCTTGTGTCTGGTGTTGTTGGCATTTTTGTTCTTATAGAAGAAGAAAATTTGTTGTTTGGTTGGGTAGAAAACGGGAAGAATTGAGAGGAAAAATGAAAGGGCTGAATGTGTTAAAGGAGAGAGCTTGATTTTTTGTGAGCCCTGAAGCTGTGAAGAGCGTTGGATGGAAGATTATAAAGAGAGAGAGAAGGAGAAATAAATAAAATAAAACAGAAATGGGGGTTTAGGGAGCTGGTATTGGTTGGAAACAAGTTTGGTTGTTTTAACTAGTTTTCCTTATCTATGTAATTTTTAGACACCCAATAATGTATAATTTGTTAAAATTGATATATATATATATATCAAATATTAATTTTTTTAATTTATATTAAGTTTTCTAAAAAAATATTATAAAATTATTTTATTAATCTAATTTATTTTATTTATATGAACAAAATTTAAACCCCTAACCAATTAGGATTAATTCAAGTGATAAGTAGATTGATACTGCTAAGTATGTCTCGAGCTCGAAATTTTGTTAATGCAGAAAATCTCTATTGAGAGACTTACCCTTCACAACCAGGGTGAAGCCTTAGAACCATTAAGACAAAAAAATATCAAACTCCTGGACATTGTTTAAGGGATTTAACATCTTATCTCGTTAAATCTACTAATAATCAATAAAATAATGAAAAATAACAAGTTTAGTATTATTAAAAACTAATATAAGTTATACAATGATATAGTCTCTTAATGCAGTCTCTCTATTTCATAAAACTTAACAACAACTTATCTTAATTTGATTGTATTGTTTGAATTAATTATTGATATTCAATATATTGATCGACTAATTCATATCGATTTTTGTAGAGATCCATTATAAGATCAATTCTCCTAACTCAGTTTGTTTCATTCACAATCATTTAAATTTGAACTCCTAACATTAATTAAAAAGTCTAATGTCTTACCAAACTAGACCAATTGATTATCAACATAATTTGATTGCATTTTTCCATTAATGAAATTATTAATTAAATAAAAATATAAATGAGTTAAAAGTTTAATTGATGAAATTTTGATATTTATGATAAATAAAGATGATGAAAACTAACATAAATGCCAAAATGTTAGGATTAAATTTGGAAAGGAAAGTGAGCAAAAATTGGATGATAACTGCAATGTGCAAGAAATAAATGCATATAGAGATGGGATTTTTGCATTGCCAGCTACACTCATTGAGAATAACCCATTCTCCCCATGTGCTCAGCACGTGTTGCTATTTTTCATTTTTTTTCTTAACAAATCTATTTTTACCATAAATATTATTTCAACAGAGTACTAAATGGCAGTAAAATAGATTTTCATAAGCTTAAAAATAGCAATAATAGTAAGATCAGTTACGGTATTAATGATAAGAATATCTTAACAGCTCGATTTGTTCCAGGATTTAGTTGGGATTAGATGTGATCGGGTAAAAAAATCAAGTCTCAGATTAATCTCAATTTTAGTAACAATATTTTTTTATTGCGATGTTTTTTAAATTAATCTAGAGTGAGTACAAAATAATATATGTTAAAAGACTCAATCATTTGACATTAAATACTCATATTCATGTATAAATGGTGTTTGAACTCGGAATCTTAAGAAATAATAATAATTCTTTAATCACTGAGATTATTGGTTCATGCTTCTTAGGGTCTACTAACAATGAATAGAGGTGTAAATTAATTAGACTCATTTTAAACGCATAATGTTGTGTTCGAGTTTACTTATATTTAAAGTTATTCATGTTCGATTCATACTCGTTTAAATTTTTTAATATCATGTTCAAATTCAATTCATTTATTAATTGATATATTCACTCAATTTATTTAGAATTCATGAATATATCTACGAATATATGCGTTAATATATTTACTAACATATTTATTTATACATGAGTAAATGTTAATTAAACAAACAGACAAATAATTTAAGGTATCAACTGGAAAAAAAATTCCTTAATTTTTTTCTGTAAAATATGATGATTTCTACCGTGATCGAAGAAGATGAGTGGGCAATATGATGTCTTTTCAGAAGACAATCAAATAATATGATGTCTTCTAATTATTTTTCTTGAAAGATATTATATTATTCGATCGTCTTTTCCAATATAATGTAAAAAATTATATTTGAGAAAATAAACTTCGATACACGTTAATTTGGGAATTTCTTTTCCCATTTCACTAGTTCACCGATTTTACTATTTCAATTCATCTTCTAATTTTTAATTTATTGCATAAAAATATTATTCATTTCTACAATTTATTAAATACCTTAATTTAAGTGTATAAATTAGATTCTATCACTGTAAGACAAGAAACTTGCCTTCTCGGCGGTCACATTCATGACAGTCGGGACCAATATCCATTTTCTTTAATTACTTGCATATTACTATTAATAATTTAATCAAATTATAAATTTATTAGATATTAATTAAAAACTATTTTTTTATTATTTAATAATTTTATTGTTAATAAAGTCTTGATTCAATTGATAAAAGTTGAGTTTTTATTTTTTAATCACTTAATATGGAATTTAAATTTTATCGTACGTAAATATATGGAAATTTTTAACTTAATTTAATTTGAGTTTTATTTAATTTTGAAGTTAATTATATAATTTAACATTTACTATGATTAATTTCAATAATTATATTATTAAAACATTAATTATATATTTTTATGAATAAGATTAATTAGTTATGACGATAGAAATTGGTTTGAAAACTGAGTTCCATCCTTATAATTAATTCATTTATCACTCATAACGACTTGGAAAACTAAGGATTAATTACTAAATTGAAACCACATGAATCCAACCAAGAAAATGATTTTGGGAAAAACGAATTTATTTCTAAATTAATTATAAGAAAACTAATGTTTAAATCATAATCAACTATTAATTGATCTAACGAAGCAATATATTAAAATTTTAAGTAAAATCAAGATTTTAAATCTTGACATTACGAATAAAAAATATATATTAGAATTATAATTTTTTTTATAATATCATTTCGAACTAATCAATTAATAAATTAAATATAGATAATTATTTAAAAAAGTTGAACCTTAAATTTATTATCATATTAACTGCTTGAATATGACCTAGAAACCTTAACTTTCATGGTGAATGATGATCTAGATTCAATGTAATTCTAATAAATTAATATTGGATTGTGATTTAATATGGGCATACTAAGATGACTAGTGGACAGATTTGAAAAAGAGTCTTAGCTTGAAATTGACAACTTAATGAATGTTCTAGTTCTAATACTAAATAAATTATTCAAATTATCTTTAAAATAAATGTTAGTTTCTTTAGAGATTTTGACTTTGAATAGTTGCGTCTACATAGTATATTTATATTGTTAGCGATTAAAAAATATTATGAAGAAACACTACATTATATTTACTCCAACCCCAAACTATTAGAAAAATAATCGAGAGGCTTTTTTTATTCATAAAATTAAGGATAAACTACATCATATACCACTAAACATCAAGCACTGCATAGTTTATACCACCGAACTTTCAATTTTACCAATTATAGCATTGAACTTTGATTTTCATTTCAATTATACCACTGAATCATTATATCGTTAACGACACTATGACATGGTTGACAGTTGTTGATGTCGTTGACGGCTGTTGGCATAGACACCTCACCAAAATGACTTTATTTTGATCAAACTATTAACGATTTAACAACCCAATGGTATAATTGAAACGGATATCAAAGTTCAGTGCTATAATTAATAAAATTGAAAGTTCAATAGTATATACAATACAACACTTAAAGTTTAGTGATATCTAATATAGTCTAAATTAAAAATGAAAATACACCCCAATAAATACATAAAAATCTCTTTTCAGTTATTATGGTTTTATTTTTCTGATATTTTGTACAATGTTATATTTTTATTTTATTTTTTAGCTTATCCATGAATTTCATTTATTTATTTTACATATTTATAAAAATAGTCTCCTTGTTTTAATTTATTAAAATTTAATCACTGAACTTTATAAAAAAGTGCAAAATACATCCAAGGCCATTCAATTATGTGTTTGATTATAAATGGGTCACTTTTTTCCTAAAAGTTATAATTTAGTTATTCAATTAAGAGATTGTCATAAACGTGTCATTGGTCGTTAAATATTAAGCAAAATAGTTATATGTCATGGTGTAATAACCTTAAAAACTTACATATTCTAACCATTTAGTCTCAGTTCAAAATAATTCAATAATTTTAACCTTTTGTATTTTAAAATTCTATCAATTTATTCTTTATTCTTATTCTAGATGACTTGTTATTCTCTTAGAAATATTATATTACCTTTTAGTATGATAATAATTTAACAATAAATAACTTGTGATTGCTTTATGACAAAATGCAATTATCTAACTATTGCTTTGATATGATAGACTCGCTTGGTTTGTTAGTATCGTAAAAAATAACTAAATTGAAAAATTTGTAAACACGAAGAGAGTAAATTTATTAAATCATTTAAAATTAGGACCAAACTGATATAATATTTGAATTTTAGAGATTAAAAGTATTATTATATCAAGCCAACACCAGACGTATATTTCAATTTTAACAATAAATGATATATTTGTATTGATATTATTATTTAGTTTCTCAAAGTAAGAAAAAAGAACTATCTCACATTCATAAAATTTCCTTTCACTTCTCAATTTTTATAATCTAATCTATAAATCCAATTGTTTGATAATCATGGAATTGGATTATATTATTCTTCGTAATTTTTCAAATTCGTTTTATCATTCATATTGACAAACAAAACTTCTATTTTTAAGAATCAAAGTTTGATTGATAAATTAATGATGTATTAGGACGGATGTAAAATTTTATGTTACAAAAGAATTTATAAAATTTCAGATAGGGCGAAAATAATTTTCAAGAGAAAATACATAAAAAAATCTAAAATATATGAAAATTTTAAATTTTCAGGGGTGACTATTCGACCCACCCTTCCTTCGGTCCATCCATGATGATGTGGCTTGAGTTTTGATAAATTGATAAGTATTTTTATTGGGTTATTACATGTCAACGTTTAGTTAGTTGAAGATTTTTTTAGTTTAATTTCAAAGAATATCT